AACAGAAATGGTGTATTTTCCATGGCAACTGCTTCGTTGGTCTCAGAACGCACAGTGTCACATATTGCACCCCTATAGCGGCGTGTTCAGATGTTCATGTTGGCTCTCTAATTTCCTCAACGGTTTTGCTGGCTATCATGCAGTGAAGGTTCAATCAGCTTTGCCTTCCCTCTTCCTTCCGTTCAATTTATCCGAAGGTCGATCGATCCCTGGCTAGTGCTTCCGCCCGACAACAGGAATCGGCGTTGTGCGGACCTCGGGGTCTACTGGGGTGAAGGATTGTCGAGAACGCTGGGCCCAAAGCATGCAAACAAACGCTAGGTACGCCGGACTCCACCCAGTTTAAGAACACTCAATTGTACCACGTACCTTCGAATACGAATCGAACCACCTCGGTCGGCGTTTCTACCTCTGCCAGAGCCGGTTGTTTTTCATTATTTTTATCTGTGGTAGAATGCTTGCTCTCTGGAACCAGTTGTCCTGCGCGACGAAACGGCCACCTCTGTGTCTATCTCCAATGCTCTTCGACCGGCAGCCGGCAACGGTGATACACCACCCGCAACCAACGTATTGTATGCGCGCTTCGAGCGAAGCGTGAGCTTGCTGTGGGTATCATGTACCTGTACGGGTCGGCTTCGGCCACCAGTCTCCGTCAGGTGTCAGAGAACAGACAGGCCCTTCCCACCATACTCGCACCCTACGGCAGATGACCCCCGGGTAGCGAACTGCCCAAGTGATGTTTCTCTTGTTGAAGATTGCGGGCATCCTTGGAGGAGCAGCCCTTGTTATTACACGTATGTGCGTCTACCAACGTCGCGTCAACGGGGAGCCGCAAAGTCATTTGCCAAAGGCGGGCCTCGACAAGGTATTGAACCATACTGTATTTTCTGGGGGGGGTGCGTTTTGTCTCGAATGTTGATCCTGAGACAACAGTAGTGTTTACATGAGGGCATACCGTCATTATCAGTATCTTCGGAAACTCTTGATATAGATCAGGGACGATATTGAAAAATCCATGCAGCGAGTTTTTCTCCGTGGGAGTATCAATCGTCTGCAGCTAATAGTAACAGGAGCCAGGAGAGCAATGGATTTTCGCAACTGTGATGGCTTCTCGAAGCGCGCACAGTTACGACCAAAGCGCACCGGCATGGAGATTTGCCGCTGAGCAAACATTTAAATTGCATATTCTGTTGCGCATTGTTGTCAGCCCATGCACTCACTCGTGTGCCCGGGGTCTTTGGTCTCGGTCCTCTGCTGTGCTATTTTCCTCGTCTTTCAAAACTCTGGGTGTTTGCGCTCGTAACACGCCGCACGCGCGATGCCGTCACGTTCGGTTTCTGTGCCGTCCAAGAAGCCGCGGATCGATCGCCCAGGGGAGCTCGTCGAGAGCCAATATGCCAATCTACGGGGTAGGACCGCACTCGCCATTCATGACTGTACATACGGGTGTTAAACCCGGGTTTTCGGCCAACACATGGCACTCGAGGTTGTTTGGTGTACTGCAAAGCGCTTGTTTTCATCCATCGCGCATAATATTCGTTTATGTGTCTGTAGCGAGTGTAGAGGCCCAACTTACATACATCGCACCCGCAATCAGGGCTTGTCGAGTCATCGTTGAATTGGTGGCGACGCCATATGACAGATAGACAAAGTGTGTACTTTCCTCTCCGTAGCGAGCGTAGAGGCCTATATTTGTCGCCCCAGCAACAATCGGGAATTATCGATCCAGAGTTGATTTGGTGGCGACACAAGCGATGCTGTTTCATCTGATGATCGCTCCGTAAAGCAGCAACAACGAAGACCGGGGCCACGTCTATCGCCAACACCGCCGAGGACATCGTGGCTACACATCGGGTTACGCACGACGGAATCGTCAGGAGCGACGAAAGCGCAACGGCCGCGATCGTACAGCCAAGATTTGAGGAAAATATTGAAAATGAACAATTGAGCCTGGAACATAATGGAGGTTCAAATCCTGGTCGAGAAAAGTCGCTGGCCGAGTTCACGACCGCAACTCCTGGTAGAGCTACGAAACCATTGGCATTGAGAGAGTCAGGGTGGGAAATCGGTCAATATATGAGACGACAGAGGCGCCAAAGGCGGACGCAGGCGGTATCACAATCTCACCATGGCCATCTGCCTGACAGACAGCAGCTTGAGCAGCAGCGGCTGGAACAAGAGGATCTTATGAACGGCGAGGCCCACGACCGATTACCAGAGGGGCAGTCACTGCGGCAGCACCTAGATGAATGGCCGCACGGACAAGCGGAAACGGGCAGACCAGGCTGGGTGCAGCAAGCCGAACCAACGACTGGTGGCACTATCATGTATCACGAAGAGCGCGACCAGGCGGACCACCAGCAGACCAGGCGGATTTCTGGGCACCATGCTGTTGTCGATGCCGATCAACATGTTGGAATTGCTCCTCGGACGAGGGTAGATCACCGAAAGGATATCCTTGCTGCCGAGCCTGCCCTTGTCGGAGCTGGTGCCGTGTGGTCCAAGTTGCAGGCGGCCATCGCATCGCAAAACCAGTGTCCGAATCCCCCATGCGGCAATGTAAGTTACCTTCGTGTTGGTATTCTGTGGGTTCTTCTGCCCAATGGCTGACACATATGAGCTACAATGGTGAACTGTCGTTGAGATCGAAACTTCTTGCGGAAACAGCAGTCTCCACGGCAAAAGTGCCAAAGCCGAAACTTTTTTTCTTTGATTGTCAACATTTCATGTCAGAAACTCAATACAATCAAGCGACCTCTACCTAATTGTGCTGGGGTAGTGTATACCATGGTCATTTTATGCGACGCGGGTACTAAAATATTTTTTAGTTTTTTTCGTTTGCACCCTTCCCGTCACCAAGAAAATGAGCGTCAACTATCGCCTAGGGGAAGGACTGCCGACACGCATCATGGCAACGTTGAAAACCGGCAGGAGCTGTTGGTGTGTTTCATTGGTACGCGAAAGAAATTTCAAGGCACCCACTGTCAACGCCCCACGGGACGTAGTCGTTGTTTGGGATTAAGAACGGGGTAGGAGGGCGATAAGACAGGAAATTGTCCAAGGAAACGGATGTTCCAATACACATGACTATCCGTTTGTCGGACCATTGCATGCATTGCCGTGCCGGGAACGCCCGGGCTCACGAAAAG